ATTACTGTAATTGTAAACGTTTTAGAAGTTGATGGTACGAATAATAAATTACAACAATACGTCAATTAATTTTCGATTTTTTGAAGGAGAATGTTTTTGGAGTGAATAAAATTATGAGATTCGTGAACATAAATCTGGCTTAACGTTTTGAATGCGTTTCCTTCAACGTTTTACAAAACAAATTAAATTGCAACAATAATGTATTTGTGTTTGTTTTTAGTCTGCAGCATTTGTATTTCGAGAATGTTTCAAACTCTTCTAAATTGTGAAACATAATGTGTTGATTCCATTAAAAAAAATATTTGCCCTGTGACTGAGCTCACTAATATTCATAATTGTAAATAAGTTCTGTTAATCAATGAAGGAAAGATATGTAAATGATATGCAAATTATTATGCAAATTAGCCCCGGCGCTATGCATTTTTTCTGGGGAGAACCCTGAAATTATTTACATATACCATCTCTTAAATTGCATTTTGTGACAAAGGAAAAAAATAGTTAGTAAAAAGATACTTTGATTTATAAATATTTGTTATAATATTTGTGTTATTGTTTTGTAGGGTCCAGTAGGTAAAGGTCCTGGTTGTGGTATCTGGGCATCTGGATGGCGTGTCTGGATCTTCTTCATGCGAGGTATCACTCCTCTTCTTGAAAGATGGTTAGGTAATCTCTTGTCACGTCAATTTGAGGGACGTCACTCTAAAGGAGTTGCTAAGACTGTCACCAAACAACGAGTTGAAAGCCATTACGATTTAGAATTGCGCGCATCTGTAAGTATTGTGTTCCTATGTCAGTTTCATAAAGTGGAATTGTTGAACAAATTTGTTGAAAGCTAGTTTGCTGGATTAAATGGTATATTGTATATTACTTTACAATGAAAACAACTGTTGATTAACTTGTACCAAGAAAATATAACTTATCAAAACTAGTTTAATGGTATATTTGCTGGTTGCCATTAGATTGAGTGTAATGTCAGAAATGATACAAGCAGTGAAAATCAAGAATTTAGACAAAGTGTGGCACTGTCAATTTGAATAGCACATGGCCTGCGTCATGAAATAAAACAAGTTTATTGACAATGCTCCAGTGGCATGAGGAAAATTTTTAGGTCAGTATTGACTTCCCTTGCTGTTACATATTTTTCCCTTTTAGGTAATGCATGACATTGTGGATATGATGCCAGAAGGAATAAAACAGAATAAAGCCAGGACTATTCTGCAGCATCTGAGTGAAGCTTGGAGATGTTGGAAAGCTAACATTCCATGGAAGGTATTGGCATTTGTATTGTTTTCACCAAATGACATTTTCTCAAACATTCCGTGGCTCCCCCCAATATACCGTAAAAGCTCAATCAATTCGGCCACTCAAATAGTTCGGCCACCTATTTTTTGCGTCATGGTTAATTTTAAAATGTGTCCGTTTAGTTCGGCCATCTGTCCAGTCAGTCTATTGTTTGTATTCAATTAGTTCGCCCGGTGATGACACCGCCCGATTTTTACGTCACTCTCTCAACAAAGGTATATTTTCACACATCTATCACGTAAATACAATGTACATGTATAAGCATTTACATCCATGGTATAAGCAATCGGGATATCCGCCAGATGTGCAGTCATGGTGTCAACCGTGGTTGTACAAAAGATGTGTGAAATCTCTAGTACGTCCATGGTGAAATATACTCTGTTGATTGTCATTACAAATTACCCAGTACACCAGTAAATAATCGCTAAGAAAATTCTCATCACGACGCCAAAAATATCGACAACGAACAAATACTTTAAGTCATTGCTAGCAATCACTGACGAAACGAAGCTCCATGGTTTAGGGACAACAAAATTCAGGCCGACACTTGACTCTCGTCTTTGGAATTTCAAGCAAGTCATACAAAGTCGCAAATGTGTTACGTGAAAGCGTCATTATTATTGGACGTTGTTTTGTTTACACAGTCACGCAGCACGTCAAAATATCTTCTTTTTTTCGGTTGACCCAAATAAAATTATCTGCTGGATTGTTTCAGCACAGT